GATTATACCTGTCCCTCAGCCTTCCGAGCAGCTGAGATTATAGGTGTGTGCCACTGTGCTAGGCTCATAAAACATGTTTTACTTTCTTTAGACAGGGTCTCAGTATTCCAGCCTGCCCTTGAACTCACTGTGTTGCCCAGGGTAGCCTCAACTGAGTGATCCTCCTGCCTCAGCCTCCCAAGTGCTAGGATATAAAACATATTTTAAATTGAAGAAGAGAAAGTAACACTTATGGAGTGTCCATCCACTCCTGACCCCTTGCTTAATTAGGACCGCTGTGCTCTGGAGGGAGGGCAGATGGTGTAGAGGAGAGGCACAGCCCTCAGAATCAGAGAGGTCAGCTGAGGTCTCTGACCTGTAGTATGAGACTTTTGTTTTTTGTTTTTATCAGACAGGGTCTCGCTGTGTAGTTCAGGCTGGCTTTGAACTCACTATGTAGCATAGGCTGTCCTTGAACTCACAGCGATCCTCCTGCCTCAGCCTCATAAGTGTCAGGATTGCAGGTGTGTGCCATCATGCCCCACTTTTGAGCGGGGGTGGGGGTGGGGCAATATCACACTATGTAGTCCAGACTGGCCTTGAACTCTTTATGTTGGACAGTTTGAACATGCAGTCCTCCTGGTTTAGCCTCTCCAGTGCTGGGATTATAGGCATGTGCTATAGGGCCTGGCTGTCTGGGACCAGCACTTTTTTTTTTGCAGTGCTGGGGACTGAACCCAGGGCTAGGGCCTTCACTACATCCTCATATCTTCAGCCCTTTCTTTCTTTGTTTTTCGGAGATGAGGTCTTGTTAAGTAGTTAATTTGCCCAGGCTGGGCTCATACTGCTGATTCTCCTGCCTAAGCCTTTCAGAGTCCTGAGATTATAAGACTTCCTTCCTCCCCTTCTTCCTCTTTGTTCCTTCCTTCCTTCCTTCGTTCCTTCCCGTCTCTCTGCCTGTCTGTCTGTCTTTCTTCCTTCTTTCTTTCTTTGCCAGGGATTGAACCCAGGGCCTGCATATTGAGTCATATCCCTAGCCCTTTTTTTTAGTTTTAGTTTTTTGAGACTGGCTCTTGCTAAGTTGCTAAATTGCCCAAGCTGGGCTCAGACTTTCACTGCTTGTGCTTTGGCCTCCCAGGGCGCTGGGATCACAGCCCTGAGCCACCACAACGGGTCTGCAGGAGGCTGTTTATCTCTGACCAGGCCAGTGGTAGCTGTACCACACAGAGGGAATGCAGGATATAATGTGGTGCGTAAGAACACTGCTCTGGGTCAGACAGACCTGAGTTCAAGTCCTCACTCTTGCTATACACTGGAGCAGAAAGAATGCTAACATTAACTTAGTCTTGTTATAAGCATTACTGAGGTAATCGAAATAAAGCTCCTGGGCCAGCACCTGGCACACGGAAGTTCTCTACAAAGAGCCACATGGACAGTGTCTAACACAAAGTAGCAGACTTTTTTAAAAAATGTGATTTCCTTCTCTTTCCCTTCTCTTCCTCAAATCAGGCACCAGTAGAGGGTACAGGTGGAAAGGGTGGTGGGGACATGAGGGAAACAGGCAAGGGCTGAAGGTGCTTCCTCCCCTCTGGAACAGGCCTGCTACCTCCCGGACACCCACGACCCCAGGCCTTCTGGGGGCAAAAGAGTCAGACAGGTCATCTCTGTGGCCAGCACTCCTGAAGCCCCAGTGCCTGTCTGTTGCCCCAGCACATTCCCAAAGAAGCTGATGCCCACCTTGCTTCCCAGACTCAACCGGGGCGGGGCATGGTACTGGGACTTAGGGTCCTTTTCCTGGCAGCCCTGGGCTCCAGCTTCTCCCCTGCTGGTGGGGAGGATGAGGAACACCAGTTGATTTGGAGTGATGAGGATCAAACCTAGGGCCGTGGGCATGCTAAGCAAGTGCTCTACCACTGACATACACTTTTGAGGTAGGGTCTTATGAAGTCGCCCAGTCTGGCCTCTAAACTTGTGACCCTCCTGCCTCAGTCCCCTAAGTAACTGGGATTACAGGTGTGCACCACTACATCCAGCCAGCAGTTGGTTTTCAAAAGGGTTCTGCTATCCACAGTTGTAAGGACACCTAGGAAATCCTGAAACAATTCCTTAACTTCTTGCTTCTGCCACCCATGTCTGGTCTCATGAAGGGATGGCCACTTATCTGTGCGTTTTCATGTGTGCTGGGAGTGAGGGTCTTCCCGGCACCACCTCAGGCAACAGTGTGAGGGAGACAGGAGCCATCGGGGGCTCAGGGGCGCTGGCCTTTTCCTTCTCGAATCCCTTCTGTCGGCCTCGGCAAGGTAGGACTGGAAATCAGGGCTCCCAGAGTGACGGCCATGGCCGGCCGAGAGTTGGAAGGGAAAGGGTGTTTAAAGGGAGGCAGGATCTGCTGACTGGCGGGAAGGCACTCGTGGGGTGAAGGTCTGGTGTGCACTCCCTCCAGGTTGAGGGCCAAAGAGGTGGGAGAAAAGAGAACTAAGGGGAGGAGGGCCTCCTGCCTCAATCCCCAAGGGCGTCTATTTCATCCCACTGCCTATGGGGCCTTGACCCCGTCTCCTCCCTCCCTCAGTGGAGGCCATGGCTGTCAGTAAGTCTCAAGTCTGCAGGAAGGATTCCTGCTCGTTTCTAAGGCGAGGAGGCTGGTGAAGGGCCTGACCTGGGGACATGGGTTCAGGGAGCCGGGCGAGGGGAGGGAGAAAGCCACAAATGAATGGGGGAGGGGAGAATGCAACAGCTGGACGGAGGGGAACGCCACAGCTGGAGGGATTAGGGGCATCACAGACGGAAGGGGAGGGGACCACCGCCAGGGCATCCAGGAACAGGTGCTGCCTGGGATCTTCAGGTGGGGCCTGCTCTGCTCGGGGGGAGGGGAAAGACGGGACACCGGGCCTTGCCCTTCCTTCTCTTCCCTTCAGGGAGCGAAAACTCTCCCTGCCCTTCCCTCTGCCTCTCGAGACGAGTGAGAGGAAGAGAAGGTGTTCTCTAGCAGTCCTTTAAATCGGCTCCCCAACCACCCCACCCCTGTACATCCTTCCCAGCTCCAGAGGCCCTACGGCTCCGAGCTGGGCCGCGGCAGCCCTCGGCTCCGTTCCCCTCCTTCCCATCCCCACAGGCGTCGGGTCCAGGTCCCCAGCTCCTCCATCCCCACCGCTTCAGCATCCGCGCGCCACCGCTTCCCCCACCGCGCCGCATCTGTATCGCTACCCTCCCTCCACGCCCAGACCCCAGGACCCGGACCCGGACCCATCCCTGCCCCCCAACCCCCACAACTCGGCCAGGCTCTCACCTCAGGGGCTCCGCGGCCGCAGCACAAAAGGCGGCGCTGCTGCAGCTCCGCTCCGGATGCTGCTCCCGCCTCCTCCTCCTCCTCCTTCTCCTCCTCCTCCCCTCCTCCCCCTGCTGCCCTCGACCGGACCCGGGGCGCTGTCACAAGCGATGCCCGCGCAGGGTCCAGGCGCAAGGGTGTCAGCCCCAGCTTTCTGCCCCCACCCCCGGCCCCTAGCCTTGTCCCCGCGCTGCTTGAACTCCCGCTCCTTCCCAGGCCCCCGCCCCTGGCCCCCCGGGACGGACACGCCCTGAGCGGGGGATGCTGCGCTGGAGCCGCCGGCCTCTTAAAGGAGCCCGCCGCTGCCATCCGCGGCGCTCCAGGCTGGTCCCCGGCCCGCTGGGGCCCGCGCCTCGCTGCTGGCGGTCTCCCACGGGCGGTTCCACCCCGGACCCTATGCTGATTCCGGAGTAGCCGCCTATGACCCGTTTTATAGTCTCTTTCTATACCCAGAGAGAGCAGCCCCTCGGGTGCGATCCCCAGTGCTCTGGCGTTACTCCCCCTGTCATACCGATCTTGCCAGCTCTGCTTCCCCTGGTTGTCACCACTCCAATTTCACCCAATTGGAATCCACTTAGCTGTAGGTCCCCTCCCCCTCCAGTGTTCCTGGATGACCCCTCATTATCATTTCAAGATTCCTCTGGACCCCCCCCTCCGATTCTCAAAACCCCGATTGCAATCACTTTCCGCGATCTCTCTCCAAGGTCAGAAGGTTTCCCTTACATCTTTCAGCCCAGTGGTTTCGAGACTGTGGGGGAGGGCATCGGGCTCTGCACCGGTGGCTCAGTCTCCGGCTTCTCAGTGGAGAGACTCAAGACTCACAGCAGAGGGAATGATACCGGGCGCCTGAATCCTAATCTTGTCTCCCTGCAGCCCGTTTCTCGGGCCCCAGACTCCTGGCCAGTTGAAGAGAGGTTCGGTAGGACCGATCTAAAAAGGCTTTAGAAGAGAGGCCAAACCCAACAGGCTGTGGGCAGAGTTAATTAAAGGAAGGGAGGTCAAGGACAACCTAGAAAAAGGAAACGAAACGGGTTCTGTGACACGGAGGCCTGAAGGCGAGGGGCTTATGTAGGGATCGAGGCAGAACTCTGACACGAACTTGGATCTACAACGGCCCTAGCGCCCTCGGGATTGAGGTAGAGAACAGCCCCCTCTCGCGTCCAGGTAAGAGCCACCCTCGCAGGCAGCAAAGAGCCAGGATCCGCCGGCAGCCTGCAGGGCCAATCAGAACCCTTCCTAGAAAGGAGGCGGGTCAAGGCGGGGGAGGGGCTGCCTCTTCCCTTGTCCCCGCCCCCTAACGAAGTAACCAATCGCAAAGCGTCTAGAGGAAGTAAACGCAATCGGAATAGCCAATAACGCCGCGAAGCTGCTAGTTGTTAGACCGTGCCCCTCCAAGCTGCGACAAAGATGACGTGCGAGCTGCCGGGTTCTGTAGTTTTCAAGGGTTCAAAAGGCCCCCCAATCTCTAGTTGTTAGCCCTTACCGCCCCGCCCCCAGCAGGTTCCACTCCGCCAGTACGCATGCTCACAGCCTCAGGGACCCGAGGGGAGGCGGTATCGCCCAGCCACAGCTCGCAAGCATCCGCGAAGGGTCCGCTCCTCCCAGAAGGCGGCGCGGCCAGCACGGGCGAGCCACGCGGAGGGTTGTGGGGCGGGTAGCTCCCCTCCTGATGGAGACTCATGAAGCTGGGTGGGCGGGGAACTCCATATCCCAGCATGCCCCGCGGCAGGCCCTACCGGCCGCGACTCCGGGCTTGGCCCCGGCCCTAGCTCGTCGGCGGTGTACTGGGGCGCGTGGAGGCTGTAGTCACGGTGGCGCCCGCGGGGACGGAGGAGGGAATGAGTGAAGAGGAGCAGGGCTCTGGCACTACCACGGGCTGCGGGCTGCCCAGGTGAGCCGCTTCGTTCCGATCCCTGCGGGGCGAAAAATGTAGGGCGGTGCGGAGGGTTAGCGGCGCGGCCCCAGCATGCACCTGGCCTGAGGGCTGTTCCCGGCAAGCACTGGGGTAGTGGGCAGTGGTTCCCGGCATGCATTGGGGCAGTGGCCACCGCCTCCAGCTCCAAATAGTTTGGGGTTGGCCCGGTTCCCAGACTGCACTGGAGCCTTGGGCTTTATGCCCCCACTTTCAGTGCATTGGGTGGGTACTAGGCTCCTGTCCTGCACCAAATCAGGGGGCATGCCCTCCCAAACAGCACTGGGGCCTGGATCCCTCGCCTGAACCGAGACAGAAACAGTACATTTCCCATCTGCTTTGGGGCAGTGGACCCTGCCTTTCCAGCTGCATCCCCACTTGGAGCCCAGCCAGTGGGTGCTGTACTGCCCGAGGCCCCCTAGACCAATGTCCCCCATAGTGTGCCAAGGTCTGGTGTGGCAGTGCTTGGCCAGGTGGGTGCAGAGGGGGAGGTGTGATGTGGGTCTGTGCCCCTCCCCCCAGTATAGAGCAAATGCTGGCCGCCAACCCGGGCAAGACCCCGATCAGCCTTCTGCAGGAGTATGGGACCAGAATAGGGAAGACGCCCGTGTACGACCTTCTCAAAGCCGAGGGCCAAGCCCACCAGCCTAATTTCACCTTCCGGGTCACCGTTGGCGACACCAGCTGCACTGGTGAGGAAGGCTTGGGCAGCCTGGCCGGGGTGTGCATTCATGGGCCCATGGCTTTGTATCTTAGAGTGTCTCTATTCACAGTTCTCTAAAGCCAGTGAGGGAAGGAGAGATGTGAGGGGAAAGGCCTCTGGCGGGCCTGGGAGAACAGGGCTGTGAGGAGGGTAGGACTTCGGACAGTGCCAGGAGTGAGCAGGACTGCCCAGGGATTTGGCAGATTCTCCCTGTCCCAGAGGAACGGTGAAGGAGACACCGAATTCTCAGTGGACACTTGGAGAATCGAGTGCTTGCTGTGGCGGGCTCCGTGTCCCATGTGGAACAGGAAGGTACTGAGTATCGGAGATGGAGGTGCTGGTGCCTAGTAAGTGGCAGGGCCGGTCTTGGACTGCAGAGTCTATCCTCTGTTTTCCCAGCTTTCTGTTTATTGAGGGAAAAGAAAGTACTCTGAGGAGGAAAATAAGCGCAGAAAGAAACTCCCCCTGAAGGGTTTGAACTCAGAAGTGCTACTTCTTGTGGCCTAATTCTGGGAGCTGATGGACAGGAGCCTTTCCTTGCTGCAGTCGGTGGAACCTAGTGGAGTTTTGGGCGGGGGGAGGTCGGTCAGAGGGGGCTTGGTTGACTTCCTCTGGCAGCGAGCAGAGAGGCTGTGGGATGCTCGTTTCTCTTCTGTCCTTCCAGTGACATCCAGTGTTGCCCAACCCCTCTCCCAGGTCAGGGCCCCAGCAAGAAGGCAGCCAAGCACAAAGCAGCTGAGGTGGCCCTCAAACACCTCAAAGGGGGGAGCATGCTGGAGCCGACTCTGGAGGACAGCAGGTGAGGGAGGAACAGCCAAGGCCCCTAGAAGCCCTTCCAGGAACGCAGGCCCTGCACCATCTCCTTGGACCCTAGGCCTGGCCTTGGAGACATTTGGCCACCCTGGCCTGGCTCCTTCTGAGAGTTTTCCCTGGAGTGGAAACAAGTGTTTCCAGGGCTGCTTCTGCTGTGAGGAATGCTCAGGGGCATCGCCAGCCCCTTTGAGGGGTTGTGGGTGTAGTTGGGCCACGGGTTAGGGAGGGAGGGTGGAGGCTGAAGCGGACAGGAGTTGCTCCCCAGCAGACCTCCTGTTTCTAGCAAGGTGTCCTTCCCTCTTCCACGGTCAGGGTGGAGTTGGTTCCCGTGGTTTCCCTTTGCAGAGATCCCCTTTCCTCAGTCTTTGGGCCAGAGTGGGTAGCGAAGGATCCGGGGAGGAAGCTGCTGTTGAGTATCCCGAGTGCGGCTCAGCTAAGGGATGGCCCCATTCTTTTCCCCTGCCTGTGGGTGTGAGGCCAAGGCCCCCTTCCCCTCGGGAAGTTCTTTTTCTCCCCCAGACTCTTCACTGCCTGAGGACGCTCCAGTTTTTACCACTGTGGCAGTTGCTGCTCCTGTTCCATCCGCTGTCCTAACAAGGTATCTGTGTCCCCTGACTGTTCTGAGGGGAACGCAGGGGGTCCTGGCTCCTGCCTCCATCTCTTAGACCCAGCTGGTTAGGCGTGAGGAACGTTAGGCCCGAGCGTACACAGAGAATGGCACAGTGGGGACCAGTGCGTGAAGAACGTATGGCAGTTGGCAGGCTTTGGGGGCAGGAGGTAATTTGTGATTCACAAGTAGCTATATAGATGCTGTCTGGCCATTTCAAGGTCTTTCAGCCCCTCCCCCCTTTGGGATTTGCCACATAACGGTCCTGTTTGAGACCCATCAGGTGCTTCTGGGGACTGGTTATAAGCACCTCTACCACTGTCCAGGGAAAATGACACCAACTATTCCAGAATCACAGTGTGCCTGGGAGCTGGGCTTGGTGGCACATGCTTGTAATTCCAGCACTCAGGAGGCTGAGGCAGGAGGAGGGTGAGCTTGAAACATCATGGGCAAAGTAGTGAGACCTTGTCTCGAACGAAAGAAAAAAGAAAAGAAATGCAGCTGGGACCTAGAGGGACCTCACTCGAGAGGGGAGCAGAAGAAGCAGGCTAGAGCAGGAGGGAACAAGGCTGGATATTTGGACAGACGGCTCCCGCTTGGTGGGGATGGGGAAGTAAGCAGTGGTTAGCGTTGGGGCTCATGGGTAGCCCCAGAAGGAACCGTTCTCCACAGCTTCAGCCTGGGCCGTGTTTCCTTCAGGAGCCCCCCCATGGAGATGCAGCCCCCCGTCTCCCCTCAGCAGTCTGAGTGCAACCCCGTCGGTGCTCTGCAGGTATGCGCCCTCATTGCCTGTGTGTTTGCGGGTGGGGTGGGACCTCGTGCCCAGGCCCTGTCTGTGCCGTCTGTCCTTCCTCTCACCTGGAGTCGGAGCCTCCTGGGTAGGTGCCGGCAGGACACGACGTGTCTTTTCTCACTCAGCCTTGTGCTCCCCGTGTCTCCTTCCCAAGGAGCTGGTGGTGCAGAAGGGCTGGCGGCTGCCAGAATACACAGTGACCCAGGAGTCCGGGCCGGCCCACCGCAAGGAGTTCACCATGACCTGCCGCGTGGAGCGTTTCATTGAGATTGGTAACTAGGCAGAAAGGGCTTCTGGCATGGCGTCTCTCCCCACAGCACCCCAGCCTGGGCACACGGTGGTCCTTAGCCTTGCTCTGCCGCGCCGCCCCTCTCCCTGCTTGGGCGTCCCGGGCTCAGGATCTTCTCCTGGCCTCCTCCCGCAGTCTCTCCCCTGCTCTCCTGGCCGCCCAGATTCTCAAGTGCACGGCCAGGCTTGCACCCCCTGTCCGGTCAACAGCACCTAGGGGAACCCTCAAGTGAGACCTGGCGGGAAGAGCTGGCCTGCTGGAGGGCAGAGTCCAGCGTTCCTGTCCCCACGTGCAGGCAGCGGCACTTCCAAGAAGCTGGCGAAGCGTAACGCGGCGGCTAAGATGCTGCTCCGAGTGCACACGGTGCCCCTGGACGCGCGGGACGGCGCCGAGGCGGAGCCTGACGACGATCACTTCTCCATCGTGCGTGGCTCGTGTGTGTGTGTGTGTGTGTTTGGGGGGCACTAGGGATTGGGTTGTGACTCAGGAAGGACCCTGTCTAGGTCCTGGAGCTGCGTCTGTGTCAGTTTCCTGCCAGACCTCGGCTCTGGGGGTCCTTGAGTCCCGACAGCCCCACCTGTGTGCCTGCCGAGGGGTGCCGTGGGGCGCTGGGCCGGGCAGGAGCCCAGGGCTCTGTTACCGGGAGGAGAGGGTGTGCCCGGCCGTCGGGTGAGGGTCCGAAGGTGGCGGGGGGCTGCGCAGGCAGGCTGGGGAGGCCGGCTGGGAGGCACCCTTCGGGCTTTTCCCTCCCTAGACGTTGACTGTCATTGAATGCCTTGGTCCCGCGGCCCCTGGCGCCATCTTTCTCGCTGTTCCGTCTTGTCAGGGTGTGGGCTCCCGCCTGGACGGACTTCGGAGCCGGGGCCCAGGCTGCACGTGGGACTCTCTGCGAAATTCCGAGGGAGAGAAGATCCTGTACCTTCGCAGTTGCTCTCCAGGCTCCCTGGGTGCTCTGGGCTCTGGCTGCTGCAGCGTCCTCAGCGAGCTCTCGGAGGAGCAGGCCTTCCACGTCAGCTACCTGGACATCGGTACGGCCCGGGGGCTGGGGCTGGGGGCACCGCACCGCAGCAGTGTAAGGGGGTCGCCAGGGGCTGGCTGGACGCAGCCTTGCCTGGTGCTGGCCCCCCCTCCCGTCACTGCCTCGCTTTTCTCGTTCGCTGTGCAGAGGAGCTGAGCGTGAGTGGCCTCTGCCAGTGCCTCGTGGAACTGTCCACCCAGCCCGCCACTGTGTGTCACGGCTCTGCGACCACCAGGGAGGAAGCCCGGGGCGAAGCTGCTCGCCGTGCCCTGCAGTACCTCAAGATCATGGCGGGCAGCAGGTAGAGCCCCAGCTGGACTCACGGACGTGCGCCCTCCGCTCCCTGCTCTTCCTGCCTTGGCCCGAGCACCTGCCCGCTCCGGTGCCCTGCGGAGCTGCCGTCTCCGGCTCTGACACGGACTGCCTGCCTTGAGGCTGAGCAGGGCACTGGGCCAGGAGCCAGGGCCACAGCCTGGGGTCCACCCTCCTCCTGCGGTGGGGGAGCAGGCGGGACGTCGGGCTCCCCTGGAGTCCGGAATAAACGTGCACTCCTCGGGTTCGTAAGCCCTGTTCTCTGTGTGACCCTGAGGCGGGCGGGCGGCAAGGGCAGCATGCCCGCCCTCCCTCCTGGGCTCGCCGCCTCTTGGTCCTCCGCGCGCTCTGCTGCAGGCGGCGACTGGGGAGCCCTGTCAGCGTGTGGCTGGGCCCGATATGGCGGAGGTGGAGACCGCCGGCCCTCGCTTGTGCCCTGGGGCTCTCCTCCCTGCCCTTTGAAGTCTCAGACACAAGGATTCAGAAGCAGACAGCTTTATTGGGGTTGGGGGCGGCATGGCATTTTGGGGTGTGGGGCTTGCATACAACACGTCAGGGGCTGATGGTGTTACTTCTTCCCAAAGCGCAGAGGGGCAGCCAGGCTCCAGAACTCTCCAGCCCGGGGACTCAGCCGCTCGCTGTTCCGGGACCCCCAAGTATTTCTGCCAAACCTGAGGGGAGATGCGTCCCCCATACGGCTCCCTGCCATCCCCCCTCTCGAGCCCGCTCTCCATGTCCCTTTCTGTCGCCTGCCCTTCCCAGCCCTGCCCCGCACGCGTCCCTTTCAGACTCACCTCTGGGGCTGGAACAGGAAGGCAGGGCTCCGGCCAGTTCTGTTCATGGCCCGGAGCAGGGAGCGCAGGAGGGACCCAGCGGTCTGGGCGCGCTGCGGTGGGTGCAGTCCGACGTCTTCCTCCTGCGGCAGGGGCAGCGGGGAGGGAATATGGCAGATGCTGAGGGCGCTGCAGTCACACGGGCGAGGGAGTGACCTCCAAGGGTAGGTTCTGGAGGTCAATGCGCCGTCTCCCTCCGATGTGCAAACTGGTGAAGACCTCCGCAGCCAGGGCACACCTGAACCTAGACGCAAGTCCCATGTGGGGTAGGAGAAAATGGAGACGCGGGGACGGGGCGCTTGCTCACCACAAAGGCCTGCTCTCCGTGCTGGCCCCCAGGTCCTTTGGCATGGGCCCAGGCCATGGACAGCAGCAGCACCAGCAACACCGCCGCCCGCCTGGAATCCATGCTGCCATTCTCCCCGCAGCCACGCCAGCCTCTTATATCTGCTGTCCCCTTGTCCCCCACCTCCAGCAGCAGCCTGAGGGGGATCTGCACCGGCAGTGGAAATGCACGGCTCCATTAAGAGCCGCCTGAGCTCCCCTCCCATGGCTCTCTTGGGACTTGCTGCTCTCAGGCTCCCGCCCCCAGCCCCTAAGCCTGGAGTTACAGACTTTATTAGATGCATAAATCCTGTCTGCAGAGCTGAAGAAGCATCATTAATTGCAGATGCTTTGTCAGAGCCAGGCCCTGGCGGGGCCTTAGCAGAACCCCTCAATCCCTCAACAGGTTGGAGAGCTTCAATTGATCACCTGTCTTTCCTAACTTGTAGACTAAAGCACAGAGAAACTGCTGTCAGGAGGGCTGGGTGTTAGGGCAAGGCTCTGGATTGCAGGGAGAGGGAAGGGCCAAGTGACCCGGCTGGGACTCTCCCTCGCCTGGGCTGGAAGCCACACGGCCTGTTCTGTCTCTGTTCACCGCCTCTCAGGTTAAACATGGAATCACTACTGTGGATGGGATGGTGAGGTACAGGACACTGAGAGGTTCTGAAGCTCACAGAGTGTGGACAGACCCCGCTGCCACTAAAAACACTTCTTGGGGAAATGCGTACGTACATACATACATACAGACACTTCTTGGGAGCTGGGCTCTGTAGCTGAAGCTCTGCTGCCACCCTGTGGCAACTGCTGCTCACTGCCAGGTCCAATCATTTCCTTTTTTTAGATAGGGCTTTGAAGGAGGAGTCCAAGGTAGGACCGGAAGGCGGGAGTCCTGAGGCCCTGACTCTAAGGGCAGTGCGAGGACACCTTAGGACTGCGCTGTCATTTTGTCCCATCTCCCTGTCCGCACAGCTTTTGCCTGGCTGTGGATCTGACATACTGGGGAAGATGACAAGAATCCTGTCTTAGGGAAATCTGAATCACTCCTCAGCAAACAACCTTTCAGAGCAACCTGGTGGGGATACAGCTCAGCGGCACAGCACCTGGCTGGCAAGCGTGAGGCCTGAGTTCGATGCACAGTATCCAAAAAAAAAAAAACAAAACAACAACAGAAACCAAACCAAAGTGACCTGGTGTGGTTTTCCGCTGTGCCACGCTCCTTCCCCTGCATCCAGGGTGTGGCACACCAGCCTACACCGAGGAGGAGGAGCCGGAGAGGGCTCTGACTTGGCCTTCAGGCAAGCTGTTCACTCTTTTGTTTGTTTGGTTTTTTTTTTTTGTCTTTTTGAGACAGGGTCTCACTATGCAGTTCAGGCTGGCCTTGAGCTCACTTTGTAGCCCAGGCTGGCCTCGAACTCACAACGATCCTCCTGCCTCAGCCTCCCGAGTGCTGGGATTACAGGCGTGAGCCACCACGCCCAGCCACTCTTAAACTCTCGATTCCTCCTCACCTAGAACATGGGACTTCAAGGCATTGCAATGCCTTCTGTAACCCCTCAGCATGGGATCTGGCAGAGAGCAGGTTCCCTCACGCCCCCGGCAAACTCACCGTCACCTGAGACTGTCCTTGGGTCGTTTTTTCCTCATGGCTTCGGTCTCCCTGTGGCTTCCGCCAGGGATCTCTTTTCTCCAGTAGACCTCTCAGGGTGTTTCATGTGTGAAAGCCCTTCAGGGTTGCTCTTCCACTCCAGCCTTTGTTGAGGGGAAGTGCCCCTTCTCTTTTCTTTTCTTTTTTTTTCCGGTACGGGAAATCGAACTCACGACCTTGCACTTGCCAGGCCGGCACTGTGCCGCTGTGCCACTGTGCCTCTGAGCTAAATCCCCAGCTCCCCACCACCACCTCTTTTCTTTTTCTTTCTTTTTTTTTTTTGGTTTTGGTTTTGCTCCGGTACTGGGAACCAAACTCACGACCAAAGCGCCAGGCAGGCGCTTTGCCGCTGAGCTAAATCCCCAGCCCCATCCACCTCTTTTCTTAAAGCAAAACATCTTGGCACTTACTCTTGAACTTTGTGGGTTATAGCAGGTTTTTGATTTGTTTCATCTTTACTAGGATTAAACGTGGGATGTTTCACATTCTGGGCAAGTGCTCTATCACTGAGCTGTGTCCTAGTCATTCATTTATTTGGGTGGTACTGAGAGTTGAACCTAGGGACTTGGCACTGAGCTATATCCCCAACCCTTTTCATTTTGAGACCTGGTCTGAGTCACAAAGTTGCTCAGCCTGGGCTCGAACTTGTGATCCTCTTATCTCAGCCTTCCAGAGGACTGGGTTTACAGGAATTCACTACCATGTCTGGCTTGTAGTTCATTTTCTTTTTGGAGTGTGTGTGTGTGTGTGTGTGTGTGTGTGTGTGTGTGTGTGTGTGTGTAGGGGGGTGGTTGAGACAGGGTTTCCCTATGTAATAGTTCAGGCAGGGTTTGAACTATGTAGCCCAGACTGGCCTTGAACTTGTGATGATTCTCCTGCCTCAGCTTCCCAAGTGCTGGGATTATAGGTGTGCTCCACCATGCCTGGCTTCTGTAGTTCATTTCTTTCTTTTTTTTTTCTCTTCTTGAGACAGGGTTTTGCTACGCAGTTCAGGCTAGCCTTGCACTCACTTTGTAGCCCAGGCTGGTCTCAAACTCCCAACGATCCTCCTGCCTCAGCCTCCTGAGTGCTGGGATTACAGGCGTGTGCCACCACACCTGGCTTGTAGTTCATTTCTTCAAAGAGAGTATCAAGTTCAGGGGTAGCTGGTTCTGCATTATGTCTGTTTGTGTCTGACACCAGTCCGGAGGGGTGGGTTATGAGGATGGCTGGGATATTTCAAACTCTGGCTCTGAGAGTGACAGAACTGCTTTTACCTTGCCCTTTACTGTGTAAAGGGTTCACCATCAATAAAATGGAGCAACTTCTGTTTTCAGGAGGCTGCTGTGACCGGCAGATGACTGAGTGTTCAGGGCTCCCTCTCACGCAGAGCAGTCATTTGGTACCCTGCTGCTCGCTGCCTCGTGTCCCTGAGCACGCGTCCCGAGGGGTCTGCACGGAGGCTGCACACAGCCAGGCCTAGCTGGCTGCTGGTGCCGAGGACGGAAGTTGGGCTGGGTTACCCTAACTAACCCTAAACCTGCTGTGGCTTTGGCATCTGAGCAGCTTCCCTTCTCACCCTTCCCTGGACTCCTTGTGCTCCTGACCACAACAAGGTGGAGGCCACTGCCATTCACACAACCACAGGAAGACCTGGTGTGGTTTATGTCTGCTGTCTACCGAACGCGTGCCGCAGCTCCTTACATCACTTGTCTCCTTGTGAAACCACGGGGGCACCTGCTGTTTGTCAAGTTCTTCGGCCTGGCCCTAGTCATCCTTTTGATGGTAATTAGGAAGGAACATCCAGAGGGGAGGAATTGCTAGTGACTCCCCCAGGCCTCATCCTACCCCGTCTCTATGCTCATTCTCTTGGGAACACTAACTGCCTGTCAACACTGCCCTTCTCTTCCAAAACCACCTCGTCCCTGCAGAAAGCTTTGATTCCTAGCTGTTCTGGAAACTTCCCAGGGGCAGCCTTTTCTTTCCCAGTTGTTTTTTCGTTTTTGTTTTTGTTTTTCTTCCGGTACCAGGAATCGAACTCATGACCTTGCACTTGCCAGACAGGCGCTGTGCCGCTGAACTAAATCTCCAGCCCCTTTCTTTCCCAGTTGTTGGGAGGGTGTGGGGACCAAACACTGGAAGATGAGAGGCGTTTGCCTTCAGATCTCCCTCCCAGCGCACCCTGCGTTCTCCACTGTGTGTCCCCAACACCGCGGGCCTTGGGCCCCCAGGCAGCTCACAGGTCAGAGCCGTCTGTGCCTGCTGTCACGCTGTGGAACTCATGTAAGTCATCCACCTTCTGCAGGCGGTGTGTTCTCTCCTGAAGAGCAGGGACAAGAACCCCACAGCTGCCCCGAGCAGGGGGGCGGGAGCTCGCAGATGTGAGCCCAGTGAGTCCCGGGACAGCGGCAGTGGCGCTGGGGGTCAGAGGAGTGAAGCATCAGACAGACCAGTGGTTCTCTTGATAGTTTAATGTTATATTTGCAGCATAAATAAGGCACAGTATATGTCAGGGCTGGGAAGGGAGGGAGGGGGAAGGCACGGCCGGGGTAACTGCTAAGCGGCAAAGGGAAGGAGGGGAGGGGGGCCGGGCAGGGAGGAGAGCGCAGCCCCTGCCTCAGCCCCGCCCGGGAGTGTGAGAGCCTGCTCACAGGGGCCATGCTGACTGGCGGCGGCAAGGGGGATGTTGGGCTTGTAACAAAAGAGCCTGTGGCACCATATCCTCCCACCCGGCAGGATCACCACCGGAGCCTGGGGAGACCCAGGGCACGGGGAGTTCCTTGAGATGGAGAGGGGCTGCCACATGTCAAAAATATATAGATGAACAGAAATATAATCAGAGATACACACTGCTTTCTTCTTCACAGACACTATATGAGGGCGCAGCAGCCTCCACTATTGGAGCTAGAGGCTGATGTGTGTGTGTGTGTGTGTGTGTGTGTGTGTGTGTGTGTGTGTGTGTGTGTGTGTGTAATGGGGTAGCCAAAGCTCCGGCTGGTCCTTAATGTAACCAAGACACGAGCGACCAGTCTGCAAGGGAGTACGGAGAACTGTCCAGACCGACACAGGGACAAGTCTAGAGAGAAGACCAGCAGGAAGACAAACCTAGAATTTGAGACAAGTGACGCGGTGGTGGCCGTTGTAATGGTGCGGAGGGAGGAATGGGGAGAAATGGAAAATGTGTTAGTGCTGAGGCAGAGGACGGTATTTGAAGAACCCTCAGTGCCTAAGAAGATCCCAGGTTGTCCCCAAGGCAATGGCTCACAAACATTAGTGAGTGTTAGAAGCACTTGCAGTGCTTGTTCAAACCCAGCCCCAGCGCTGGAGACTCGGGAGGCCTGGGGTGGCTGAGAACGTGCATTCCCGACAAGCCGCAGGCCGGGCTGCTCTGCTGGTGCTCCTGGACCACTTTCTGAGAACCACTGCCCTGTGGTAAAGTCAGTGACCGCAGTGCCCATGGCCACGTACAGCTACAACATCTGTCACCAGCAGCTGGGGTAAGATCTCTCTTGTGCTGTTGCTCCACCCCATTAAAAAACTAAAATAAGCCTTAGGAGCTACAATGCATACTTGCATCTACAAAGGGCATAAGCAGCCTTAACGTGCCTCCTCCTCCCAATCTTTTTTCCCCCTTGAGGTAGGATTTTACCCCAAAAAAGAAAATTCAAATGGTGCAGAGGGTGGGTGCGCCAGCCAGCAGTCACCTATGCTCAGGCCTGCTGGGGTGGTGGGGATTTACGTCCGTGCACATCCGTCTGTGCAGATACAGACGGTTCAGTTCCGGGCCTGGAGAGGGGGAAGGGTTAAGGAGGCAGCAGTGGGGCGCTGGGATCCTCGCCTGTGCTGTTCCTCCACACCTCCCACCTGGGTCAAACATAAGTCTAAAGAAAGCAGAAAGAGCGTATCAACCAAAGGGATACATGGTATAGCTAGGAGGACTGAAATCCACAGACTGGCTGTGAAAAAGAAAGAACTAACGTATTTCCTCCCTGTGTATACCCTGGGTAGTATTAATGGGACATGACGGGGGTGGGAAGGGATTAAGCAGGGGCGACGTTTTGGTGGTGCGCACTGTCTCGTGGGTAGCACCTGTAAGGAGCGTCTTGGTGTGCAGCAAGGGAGCCTGCGAGGTTGGAGGAAGGATTTTTGGTGTCTGGCGGCTCACAGGTAGTGACAGTGCTGTGGGGAAGGCCCTCGAGGAGATGAAGAGGCCAGTCAGGCGGGGCTGAGCACTCCCGCAGGGACAGGGAAGCGAGCAGCAAGGAGAGGTTCCGTTGGCCCAGCTCCTCCCTAACAAGCCCCTGTAGTACATGGGCTAGTGCTCAGGGCCCAGGAGAGGAACAGAGGCAGAAGGAAGTGGATGCGGGGTGTCCAACCAAGAAGAAAGCATGAGTGAAGGAGCTGTTTAGTCTTTCTCTCCGCCCTAGTTGTGTGAGAGGCTCTCGGCCTTTTCAACTCTCCGCAAGCTTTCTCTTAAGGGAGTGGGGCCGTGTAGTGTGGGCCAGAAGACCCGCCTCTCATCCCTTGTCTCTGGCCTGGAGCGAGACGGGACCTGGTCTTGTGTTCCCTCGGCAGAGTCCCAAGATATCCACACTGGGCTCCTTTCTGAAAGGGTCCTCCCTTCCACCCCAGGCTTGGAAGCCCAAGGGCCTTGAGAAGGACTCAAAGACACCCCGTGCAGTATCGGGTTCTGGCCCAGGTAAGCCTGGAAGGCAAAGGTCAGGGCCGAGTGACCACGTGGCTGGCAGCAGTTACAGGGTAAGTGATGGGCTCCTTAACCCGACTTGAGGCTTCAGAGTGAGCGACAGCGCTGCCTTTTCACTGAGACCCAGGGCCGCCTAAGAGCCCCCGGGCTTCTGTCCTGCACCGCCTTTGTTTCAGTGCTGCGTCACTGTATGGTTCTAGCAGTGGCCTTCACTTAAGTCCAGTATTAACCTCTCGCTGATGACAATGACATTGAAAACTCCAGAGAATTACATACAGGGGCTAAGAAACTAAAAAAAAAAAATCCTCCTACAAAGACGGGCTGTCCAGCGCCGGGAGAGGATGGAGGGGGTGTATGCGGCGACAAACTGATTCTAACTTTAAAAACACCTGACTGAAGGGGAAGAATAGTCAAAGGTCTAAGGAAGAAGGCTCCTTAGGAGCCATAAACTGAGTCACGCTGTAGGGCAAGGCCGCTAGTGGGAAATCAGGACAGTAAGAAGTGAAACGAGACTCGGAAGCGGGGGCGGGGAGCCCCGGGAGCAGCCGTCTGAAGAAGCCCTGAGCACAAGTTACGGCTGCGACTGTTTCAAGGCCAGCAAGGTCCCTGGAGGGGGGAGCTGCGCCCTGACCATCTGCTGCGACATTCGCTCGTCGTACCACCTCGGGGCTGGTCCTGCGGGCTCCCTGGCAGTAGGGGACAAGAAAACCATGTTTTCACTCCTTTGTCTTTCACTCCACCCAGTGTGGCTTGTTCAGCACCAGCTCTGAAGAGCAGGAGGGGACATTTAAAACCAAGGCGGCAGAATGCACCATCTGACTGGCTCGCCAGTGTGTCACTCTGAGGAGAAGGGGATCTCGTGGCTTAGAACGTTTTCTCATTCCCCCATGACAGTCGATTTTGGAAGACAAGATAAGAAAGGAAGCTGGCAGCTACTCTGTATGTATCTTTGAGATGGAGGCAGGAGAGATGGAGCAAAGGACATTCTTGGCTTTGGCAGATGGCAGCAGGTGGCCCTGGGACAATTGGAAGGGCTTCCGACTAAGGAGTTATTAAAGCTGACCTATCTATCCACAGGCCTGTGGCTTTGGATTGCGTCCTCTTGCCCTGGTAAAAACTGCATAGTTCACAGCCAAGGGAAGATGAGAAGTCCTAATGGCGAAGGAAGAGGAACAGCGGAATGAATTTCTCCCTCTGCAACCCAACTCTAAAGTAAGAATGGCTAAGCTGGCCTACAGCTGCCCAGATGGGCCAGCCGTGGGCTTCCCAGCTGAGATGGGTACTGCACCTATGCTGTCCCTTGCTGAGCTCCACACTCAAGCCACGCAGCACCTTGGCCATCACACTTCAGCCTTGGAGCTTCTATTAGGGAGAAGAACGTATTGCATTTTGGGGGAAGAGAACAGAAATGAGCTGAAGGAACTGTGCAGGGCCAGAAGACCTAACAGGCAGACTAGGAAAGTGGTGAGGGAGACAGTAGTCTAGAAGTGCGGGCACTGGTGAATACAGGATATAGCTCAGAAAAGACACACATGAGGCTGAGAGATAGAGGAAGATCAAGAGAATGCCAGGCTTCCCCGTAAGACAGGCTCCGGGAAGCCTGATGAGCTAGTTACAGCAGACAGAGAGAGAGGCAGTACTGTGGACAGGCAGTGGAGAGAGAGGCAGGAGCGTAAAGACAACCAGAGGTGACAATGTACCTAACTTTGGCCAGTAAACTCGTGTGAAACAGAAGAATCAGTTAATCCAGTCATCCGGTGGAACAAGCCTGAAGTGCTATTGTTCCTGTCCGCCCTGATGATTATGAGTCAAGGAGGCTGCGAAGAGTCACTAGTCAGACCCCTGCCTAGTTCTCTTTGCACTGCCAAGTGATGCTTAACAATAAGGCCACAAGATGAGGTTGCCCGGGCTTAGTGGAGATGCGGGAAAGTCAAGTCACCACTAGAGCAGGGAAAGGCAAAGAGACAAAATGAGGTACCCAAACAGTTCTGGAAATAGATGAAAAGGGACTAGAACTCTTGGAGTTTTGCTTGTTTCTTTTTGCTTTGCCTTTTTTTTTTTTTTTTTGGTAGCCAGTAGGGAGAAGGAATAAAGCTTATGGGAGACCTGGAAAATACTGCTACTGCATACATCAGAAGGAAACTTACATTCTCCATAGGTGAATGTTTTAACTAGAATTTGGAAAGGGAAGAAAGGGATAAGTTAGTAGCTACTGGGAGACAAAGTCCTGAGTCCATGGGGGAGCTAGGGATGGGACAGCCTTCCTCTGTTGAGCAGGAACTGGCATGCTGGTAAGAAACAAGAAGGTCACAGCTACAGCTTAGTGAGAAGAAACCGAGAAACCCCAAACCTAGAAGTGCCAGGGTTAGTGTTAAAAGAGACAGATACACATGCATGGGGCACGGGTGATTGCTCAGACAATCCGGGTAGGCCTGTGGCTGTGAGTACATCAGAAACCCCAGCCTGGGGGGTGATCTATGTGGCTCTGGAGCTGGGATGCCCCCAGTACAAGTATCAAGTGTACATGACGGCGTGGCTAAGAGAAAAGCCCCGTATCTATCCATACTCACAACACACAATTTTGCCCCCCGTGTTGCCATGTCCAAGGCAGATGGGAGGGGACAGGATGACATCTCTCTTGGCTCTTGGGCGGGCGAGCTCTGGCTGGGACCTCTCCACCAGGGGAGGCATCATCTGCCCGCAGACTGGGACTGTGGGGTCATGATCACATGTGGCTGCATGGGCATGCTCAGTTCTGTCCTTTGGCTGGCCATCTGAGTGAGGACCGAGGTGGCAACAGCTTCAGCTGCAGATCGAACGCTGAGGCCATTGCTAGGTGCTGTTGCTGAGCTGTGCTGAATCACAGGAGCTGGAGAACCCGTCGGCTCTGAGCTTTCCTTGGGGCTCTCTGCCAGGAAGGAGAGCAAAGAGCAACAAAGCATGTGGTCAGAAAACAGAATAGGGACATAGGCAGGATTAACTTTTGCTACAGTTCCAAAGGATTTCCAAGGAAAATGGAATCTCTTCTTTTGGAGAAAACTCCCTAGAATTCAAGGTGGTCTTTTTTTTTTTTTTTTTTT